TTAACTAGTTTAAAATCAAGTTAGGAACATTTTTGCTTGAGAAAGAATTACTATTATCTTAATAAAATTTTACGCTAGAGGCAAAATAGTGCAAAAAGCTGTTTTGATCGGATAAATATTTCCGATGTAAATCATGTAAATCGATGCAGATCACAAGATCGTTTCGGAATTTATCGGGCAGATTGATAAACCAATCAAAATCGGTGATACGTACGTACGTACATACGTATCAGGTAACTTAAGAACCTAATTTTTTTTTGATTAGAATTAATACGTATCAGTTTGTTATCCGCTAAGAAAGTAAGCATTTTGGCTTTACTTAAGATTAGTAGTGTTTTAAATTAAGTAAATTTGTTATTTAAAATCCAAAAATAACTTTTTTTCTATTATATCGTGAGCAGGTTGAGTTGAATACGGCCAGCAATAAATATGATACATTTTTAGTTAAGTTTTCTGATGTTCGTTACGCTTAGTTAGTTTAAGCTATGGTAGCTTCTAATATTAATATCAGGTATATTCAACATTTCAAGAATTTATATATACAGTATAAATTTTTTTGATCTAAAATTCATGATAATATGGATGGTTTAGACGGAATATTCTGGATGGTATGAAAGTGAAGAAAAGAATTATCAAGTTACGAGAATATAACGGAAATATTCTGGCTTTATTCTTATTATGAATGGAATTAAGAAGGATGAAATAGTACATCCATTTATTATCAAAAAAGTGCAGGTATGAATGATCGTGTAATAATATTTTTGCTTGGTCATTATTATTAAAATTAAGAATTCATCATTAATCATCAAAATTCTGCAGAAACAAATAGTCGGGCGAAATATCTGGCTTGGCTATTGTTACGAACATAGAGTTGGAAATAGAACGCATTCATTGACTGAAATTTGTAATTATGATAATTCGGTCAGAATATTCTGGCTTGGTTATGTTATAAATATGGAATAGGAATTAAGAAGAATGAAAATAAAGCATTAGTTCATTATTGAAAGCTGAGATAGGTAATTATGATACGTAGAATATATTATACATAATTAGAATTATTAAATTTTTAATTGTTAAGAATATGAATATTATAATCAATTATAAATACCTAATTTCTATCTGTTCATTTTCGAATTGGGTATATCTGCAATACTTATACGTACGTATTTCTTTATGTATAGTCCTTATCAGTTATCCATACAACGAAATCTTATGTTTGTTAATATTAAATATGTTACGTATAACAGAGTTTTTATCTATTTATGCATGTAGGCGTTTATTACTATGTACGTATAGTACTTCGTAGAGGAATAATCCGATTTAAGTTTATCATATTTTCATAGATAGACTCGAGGGATCATTTTTAATACATGGTAATTTTTTATCTGGAACATTAACAATAGCAGTGACGATTACTTTTATGTATTGACTTATAAGTACTTAAATTGTTATTACAGTTAGCTGAATTTGTGTTTTGGCCTAGAGTCATATATTTTTGGAAGACCCATTGTTAAAAACAAAGAAAAATCTTAGTCATGATACTTTGATACATAATCAAGCATTTTATGCATGGTTTGCATGAAATTGCAGTGTAATATACGTCACCCTTGTCCAATAATTTTCTAATTAGTTGTTAAAACTATACATTTTGTTTGATTCCGTGTTTGATTTTATCAAAAGAAAAAAAAATGGATTTGACACATACATTAGTTTCTTCAATTTTTTTAGAAACACATTCAGAAATATATTCGTTAGCTAAAGAATTTAACCAACTTAAAACGTCCTATCAAACAAGTAACGATTATGAATTAGAATTTAAAGAAAAATTAGAGACGGAAGAATCACCTTCTGAAAATGTAGAACTTAGTGATGTACAAGATAATAAAAAGATGAAAGATAATGAAGAAATTCAACAATTCGATAATCAAATTATTACGCCATTACAAATCGAAACTTTTCAAAGAATATTTGCTCAACATCCTATTGAAGAAAATAATGAAGAGCCTGAAGTTAATGAACAATTAACGACTCTTCTAGATCAGCAGGAGAAGGATGCCTTTTTTTTAACACTTCGTACATTAATTTGTTGTAAAACCAAAAAATGTTTAACCAAAATTGATCACGAATTTGCATTTCAAACATTTGATAATATTCGAAAATTATCAAAAACTGAATATAATATGGTTATTTTAGGAATGCTTCATATAATGGCCCGTGGTAAAGAAACACAATATTTAACCGTTAAATATACTTTTAATAATAGCGAAATTTGCGAGAAAGCCTTTCAGACTATATATTCGTTATCAGCTAAAAAATGGAAAACCATTCGTAGTCATTACCAGGTTAATGGTATTAAACCTATTGTACATGCACTTTCGGGAAGAAGATCTTACCATGCTTTGTCATTTTCAACTATTTTAAATGTACTTACATTTATTATCAATTATGCGAATTGCCATGGGTTGCCGTCACCGGGTAAATTGATATTTATAACAATAAGTTATCGTATAGTGCTTAAAAAAAATATATCAGTAAATCTTAGATTCATTTAATACTATCGTGTAAATTTTTTTGCTCCATACGATGTTATTAACATCCGGTAGTTGTTACTGTCATAAGCTATTAAATAAGTAATGTGGCTCTAAAAGTTTTATTTTTCTTTATATTAGAATTTTTTTAGTGTTATTAGTTATTTATAGCAGTAATAACTTGGCCGTACAATAAATTGATAATATTCATACATCGATTTTTTCCGTGAATAACTTATTTAATAAAATATACCTGTATAATAAAAAATTTATTAGGTCGCCACTTTCGAGAAGATACTATGACTATTACATATCTTCCTGCAAGTGAAAGTTATGTTGGATTATATCGTATTTATCAATCAAGTTTGGATGAAACTTCTGATTTTAATATCAGCCGATGGTCTTTTGTGCGAATTTGGAAAAAATATGTACCAGAAATTCGCTTTTTATCACCTCGAAATGATCTATGTACGCTTTGTAAAAACATGCGGTTTAATGCTCAATTCTGGACAGAAAGTGAACGAGATCAAAACGTTCAACAATGGAATGGCCATATTAATTTGGCATATCAAGAAAGAGAGTACTATAAGTAAGAGAACTTGTAATTAGAGATTGGGCCCGGGTAGAGATCGTTATATAATTACTTGAATATAATGTGGGGATGATGCTGAAATTTTGGAATTAGAGTTTAAGGTTAGAGTATAGGTGGATTTTTGTAAAGGTTAAATCAAAGACCCAAAATTTCAGCATATACTTAGGCAACCTAAGTTTAATAGTATATACTGTATATGGGTGAAGAATTTCTCAGCGAGCCCAATTTATAATTGTAAACTACTTTTTATAGCAATTATAATACTTTATTTTATCTGAACTACTAAAATTTTAGGCGATGTATTCTTAATACAAAAGAACAATTAAGATTTTTTAATAATCCATCTGCACTTTCACGCCCGGGGATACCAAGTTCTCTTGATTTTGAAAATCATCTTTCGTGGGACTACGCTGAAGCCGTCCATCTTCCGTACTCTTCACAACAAGAGGTAATAATTCTAATTAGATTCCCGTATTTTAATTCTGAAACCTCTCATTTTTACAATATTTAATTTAACAAATACATCAGAAAGTAAATTATATAATTTGATAATGTTAATTATGGCGGTTTGCAGAAAGAATTTATCTGCAGATTTTTTTTTTACCTCCCTCCGCATCTCGAAGGT